ACAGGCCTCTCTCATCTTTTTAAGTGGGAGAACTTGCACAATTGGTGGCTGACTAAATACTTTTTTGCTCCACCGTAGTCCACCTCTTTAAAAAATCAGCTACAGAAAAGTTGCAGTTTAAAAAATATTTAATATACAATAATGGGCAGTGTAATCAGCTGTATTTACAATCCTGATTCAGAAGCCTCTGAATGGAGATAATTTCTTTGAATATGATTACAGAAAATATGATCCATCTGTGACACAAATCCCTTGGCATTAAAGGCCTTCCTGTTTCTGCAGCTGCACCTTTCCAGTCTGGGAAAGTGGGATATTAGAGCCTTCTGCTTCTTTGACTTTGAAAATCAGTACGCATAGTAGGAATACAAGCTTATCGTTAATTTGAGGGCCTGTGTTGTTACTGTCTTGTTTCACTAGATATTTTGTAACAATAGCAGGAAGGCCAAATCTCATCAATACTTTTTTTTACACTCAGAAGAGGCATCTTCAATGATCATACAGTGAGTTGAAAATATAAACAAATAAGGCACCCAGCTGTACATGTTAATATTCCATTTTGGAGCCTCCAATTTATCTGAATCAGTAGATGGACATTAATAATCCAAGGAACAGGTAAGGTCCAGGAAAGTGCAAGCCAAGCTTTATTTTTGTAGAGAGGTTTTCTTATTTCCTTGTATTGCTTGTCCTTCCAGTATAACTTGGCCTGGCAGGGGGAGAATAGAAGAGCTTAAAGGATCTGTTTAGAAAAAAATCTGGATTTTAGCATTTTTAACTGCAAAACTATTCCAGTGTAGAGTTTTCTCTAACACTGTTCATAGATTTCCAAACTTCAGAATTTTTATAAAAATTGCGTTGGGCAACCTGCAGTCCCAAGTTTAGAACTGGCACCAAAAACTCTTTTGAGACCTTGGAGCCTCTTCTCACCATGACTGCTGAAAATTATAGCATTGTTTTCCACTCTTATGAGTCATGGATGTGAGCTCTGAAACCTCAGCCCCACCTACAAGTGTGATATGGCCTATTCACTTTGCAATCCTCCACCATCCACATAATGTGAAGTGTGACCCTTGACCACCAAAACATTTCACACTCCTGGTTTATAGGAAATATTCATCCTCAATTTTAAAAAAAAACATGGTAATAATGTAATGTTATATATGTTTACATGCTTCTTTTGCTTTAAACAGTAATAGTTAATAAACTTAAGCAACCTTGATTAACAGCAACCTTTATCTCATACACTGCATCTCATGTTCATTTACCATCAGTTAATGTTACTAAATAAATGATCATATTTTTAATGCAAAAAGAAATAGTGTATTGATAGTCATCTGTATTACTTACCCAATCATAACAGACAATCCAGCAGCCTCGAGCAATTCCCATCAGTATGTTTAAAGTCCGGCGGGGGCTCCCTGCAATTACATGACTTGTATTTTTGCATACTTCATCAGAAGATAGAAATCCTCCCAGCTTCTTCACTACCTGTACAATTACATCCTGCTTCCTTTAAGAAGAAACAGAGAGTAGACTTTAATAACTTAATTCACTTCTACAGAAATGATTAATTTACAGTTACAATATAAACATTATTGCAAGAGGTGTGTAAAATACACAAGATTAAAATGGCCAAAAGGTGTGTTTACTTTGGGCTGTTCCAGCTCCACTGGAAGCACTCTGACTTCAGCTAATGAGCTATTCTGGCTGCATAGTGAAGGTTGGGACAGGCCCATTCTGATGTTAAAATATTTCCAATGAGGTTTCAGGGGTCAGAATGTTTCTACCTTTGAATGTTTTGCACACATCTACTTACATAGTGGCAAAATAAAACAACATGGTAACTCATCACTTTCATCACCTCCAAGCTAAACTTACATGCCTTTACATGATGAATCAAATCTGTAATTGTTACAGAATATAGCAGCCTACCAATTAGCAGATAAGAGCTACTACAGTCAGATAACATCAGCTTTCTGAGTGCTACATTGTTTTCCAATAAGCTTCTGGGTCAAATTCAAAGTGTTGGTTTTAATCTATGAAACACTGTGTGGCTTGGCTCCCATGTATCTTCAAGACCACCTTCTCCTAGTAGAAACATCCCATCCTGTACATTCATCTCAGAAAAGGATGTTTAAGATACCCACTTTCATGAGGTTTATTGAGGGGTGGTGGTCTCTGTGGTAACTCGTTCCCTCTGGAATAGCATCCTCTGGTGGTTCATTTGGCCCCCATTTTGCTCCCATAGGAAAGCCATAAAAATGGTGTTTGAGAGAGCATGAGGGACTTGATGGTGACCACTGAGCTAGGGCAGCAGGATGGTAGGTGCTGTTATTAATTTGATATTGTGAGAGCTGGACCATAAAGAAGGCTGAGCAACGAAGAATTGATGCCTTTGAACCGTGGTGCTGGAGAAGACTCTTAAGAGTCCCCTGGACTG